TCTCTCTCTCTCTCTCTCTCTCTCTCTCTCTCTCTCTCTCTCTCTCTGTGTGTGTGTGTGTGTGTGTGTGTGTGTGTGTGTGTGAGTGTGTGCATAAGTGTCTTTGCCATTGCTCATGTATGGAGGTCAGAGAATAACTTGCAAAAGTCATCTTTCTCTATCCACAATTTGGTCTCTGGAGTTTTAGTTCAGGCCATCAGACTTGTCAGCAAACTACTTTACCAACTAATCCATATCACTAGCAGCCTAAACCAAACTCTAAATATCTACAGGATAGTCTTTTGAATGTCACACTAAATAACAGCCATAATGCTTCATAGTGTCTTCTTTGTTCCAACCACAAGGTTTGGTAATGTGAAGTTATCCAGGTCTTGTGTGACTATTTGAGCAGAGTAGTTCAGAATGCATCTCCTACAGAGCCCCTTGTCAGGTTCTAAAGCAACAGCTGATCCACTGATCCAGTTACCAAGGATGGTAATGAGTGTGACTTTTGGTCCCCACTGAAAAACGCTTTGAACATTTTAAAATGTATACCCTTTTTAAAGTTAGCACACAAAGCAATGCGCTTCACTCTGGCATTTTTATATAGATGCCATTAAAATTGATTCATGTTAATTCTTTTCCCACTTTGCCCTCCCTCATTCTCCCTGATATCTTTTATCAGGCTTCTTCCTTCCCTTAAAGAGTATGCAGAGCTGCCTTCATTTCACATGTACTCCCCTCCCTTCCCTCCCTCCCTGTGTCCGCACTCTATCTGAGTCTGGTTTGTCTTGCTTAACCTAAAGATCTTGACTTGCACCTGTTTCCAGCAAATTTTATGGTGTCATTCATCTCTGTGGTAGAAAATCTTTCTGTTTTCCATAAGTACCACATTTGCTTTCCTCATTCACCTTTAGCTGGACATAAAGTTTGGTTCCTTTTCTTAGCTATTGTGAAGAGTGCAACAATAAACATCTGTTCACTAATATCTCTGTAGTTTGTTGACTTAGAGACTTCCAGATATATACTAAGGGTGTGTGTGTGTGTCCCAAATGGGATGAATTGTCACCTATGTATAGCCAAGAAACACCTAAAGAATACAAATCTTGTGGTTGTGCCCCATTGGCTGGCTCCAGTGACTGGCTATTTTGCAATAAAAATTTCCCTGAGTCATGCTGAGCGACTCTCTCTGTGTCATAGAAACAATTGTTATCTCACCTAGATCCAAACTGGATTTTAGGCTTGTGAGAGCTAGGAGCTTCTCTTGTAGATAGCGCCCCAGTTTCTTTCCATCAGAATGCCCACTTTAACTTTTGGACTATCCCTGACTTACCTTCCTCCCTATGTTAGAGCACAGGGCAGCTGTAGCCAACTTCAGCTTAGCTTCTTTTCCATGAGTTCATCTATCGTTCCCTTATACTTTTCAACTGTCCTGCCACTTCCTTTGTGTGTTGCAGAAGTTCTTCTTCTCTTTCTTTCTCTAGAAAAGATATCTTTTCCCCTTTAAAATCTTCTCTGTAACCAACTCACTCAGAAGCAGCTTCTAAGTCTGTCATCTTACCCAGAATTCTTTATGGAACCGTTCACTGGACTAATCCCATAATCAAAAGGAGCTACCAAGATTTGGCATTATCAGTTTTCGCCTGGTTGGACCAGGAGTGAGGCATTTGTTCCTTGCCTTGGCATATTTCCTTGGTATAGACTGATGAGCTATAGAGATGTCTGAGTCTAATTGTCATATTAGTCATATATGCTCACATGGGAAAGAAATCAATGCATGACAATGAGGGGATCTGGCCAGAGGAGTGCCCCAAATGACTCCTGTGCTAAAAATTATACTTTACATTCTAATGGGTCATAATCAGGATGAAGGTCACCATCAGTGTAGAGTGATAAAGATAAGCTTTACTAATTGAGGTTGGCCCTTTGAGATTCTAATATATTTGAGATGACATGACTCCAAATTTCATCTGGACACATCTGTTTCCTCTTCCCAGGCACCTGTCACCTATGATGCCCTGATGGACATGGAATATCTGGACATGGTAGTAAATGAAACTCTCAGATTGTACGCTATTGCTAATAGGCTAGAGAGGGTCTCAAAGAAAGATGTGGAAATCAACGAAATGTTCATTCCCAAAGGGACTATAGCTATGATACCAATCTATCCTCTTCATCGGGATCCTGAGTACTGGCCAGAGCCTGAGGAGTTCCGTCCTGAGAGGTACAGAGATTCTATAAGAAGAGAGAGACACTGGATCTGGCATGAATTTTTGAAATCTCAAAGCTACTTCCAGTGACACTATTCTTCCAACAAGGCCACACCTAATAATCCTTCTAATGCTTTCAAATAGTGCCATCCCCTAGAGAATAAGCATTCAAATGTACAAGTCTATAGGGGCCATTATTATTCAAACCACCACAATTCCTCTTACAAAAAAGCATATACATGTGATTTTCTACCCCTTAACATCTATGAATCCTTTTGGAAATATAGCATTTGTGTGTGAGAGAGAGAGAAAGAAATGTGTGTGCAGTTCGACAGCACATTCCAGGGATCTGTTCATCTCAACCTCCTATCTTGCCACTGCTAAGACTAGAGGCACACCCCATCATGCCCAACTTTCTGTGTAAGTTCTGGGCAACAAACCCAGGCTCTCACACTTACTGGACAAGTATTTTACTACATAAGCCACCTCCCAAGTCCCATACAATTACTATAATACACCTCGTGTTCACCTATGTGAACTCTCTATACACACACAACCTAATTTGTCCACACTATCCCATTATTTCATAGCATTTCATATGTAAATACCTCCTTTTTCTCTACAAATTAACAAAACAGTTTTAAAACACCAATTATTCTTGTTCTTGTCATTTTTTCACAATATTTTCTTTTCATTTATATAATCAATCAATGAAAAGTCAAATTTCAATAAATTCAGCTCTACATGTTTAGTAGATATTTTTAACTTAGTGGAGAATGTAGACGTGGATGTCATTCATGATGCTATAGTAGAGACTCATCCTGTGTGCCAGAAAGGTAATTGACTTGAGCCATTCTCTGGAGGGAGTGGGGGAAAGCAAAAACAATTCTGAGGAAGAAATGGACAAGGAAAAGTGGACAAGGAGCTACAAAGAAAGGAATGTAATGAGAGGAAAGGGAAGTAATGGGAGAGGGGAAATTTGCATTTCCAATAGTGACAGAGAGAGTTTTTGCTTCCCCATTCCTAAGTGTGAAGCAGGAGACTACTTGGCCATCAGTTTGGCCAATCCCAATATGTCTTTCAGAACAGAACACTTCACCATCTGGAGTGGAATATTTTATGTTTAAGGATGTGTTTTCTTTCAAAAAGCATTCATTTCCACTTGTCTCAACAACACAGAAAAATGCCTGTTTGGGGTGGAATGGAGGGGCCTTTAGCTCACAATTACTTGGTCAGACACCTCCAGCAAGGGTTCTGTTGTAAGTCCATAAATGTACACTGAACCAGTCTGGTTGAGAGTGTGATGACTCTAAACAGAGAGCTCTTTGGATTGATGTTCCATAGCCTTGTTCTTATCCCTACTGTGTCTCCAGGTTCAGCAAGGAGAACAAGGGGATTATTGATCCTTATGTATACATGCCCTTTGGGAATGGACCCAGGAACTGCCTTGGCATGAGGTTTACCCTCATCAGCATGAAACTGGCTGTCATCAGTGTCCTGCAGAACTTCACCCTTCATCCTTGTGAAGAAACACAGGTGAGGCAGAAAACTCTCAATAACTTTTATTTAAAAACTTATAGTGTTATATACACAAATAAATTGCTTGTCTTCATTATTTTTTCTATTGCTGTGATAAAACACCATGACTAAGACAATTTATATCTTAAAAGGTGCTTGAATTAGCTTATAGTTCCAGAGGATTAAGGTTTATGGTGGCATAGTGGCATAGTGAAGATATAGCAATAGGTACAGCTGAGAGTTCAGAGAGAGAGAGAGAGAGAGAGAGAGAGAGAGAGAGAGAGAGAGAGAGAGAAGGAGAGGAGACTGTGAATGAATGGCACTAGTCCCTCGGAAACTCAAAGCCCACCCCCAGTGACACACCTCCTAAAGCAAGGCCACTCCTCCTAATCCATCCCAAGCAACTGGGGGACCAAGTAGTCAAACATAAACTTGTGGGTGTCATTCTCATGCAAACCATCACTCTGTTCACTGACATTTTAATAATGTATGTAAAAAAATGTATTTGTTGTCTGATATGAGTCCTTTCATACTGAACTTCATCTGAATAAAACACAAATAAGGAATTCATTTAGAGTTAGTGCAAATAGTGGGAAATGACTGAATAAAATCTCCTTGACATTGAGTTCAAATAAACTGGAGATGAGATATTGTGCACAGAGCATGTGATAAAGACCTTATCTTGATTTGTGACTGGTGTATGTCACTATGATTTAAGAGAAGTTTCCACACGTCAGGGTCTCCGAATCACTGGCTGTGCTTTAGAACTGCTAAAGAGCCTTAAACATTCAAAATATCTGGCCATATCAGCTATGTTGAAATGATTCACCCAGAGTGTGGCTGTTAAACATACAGGTTAGTCTCCTTCACAACCAAAGTTGAAAGTCACTGATGTGACACAGGATATGTGTGTCACTAAGGATGACTTTTGAGGTGTTTAGAGCCCACACTAGGCCCAATGCTGCTAGTCTCTCTGCTTGTGGATCAAGATGTAGTTCTCAGCTCCTTTTCCAGCACTACACCTGCCATACCTGCTGCCATGTTCCCCACCATGATGATAATGGACCAAACTTCTGAAACTGTATGAAAGTCCCCACTTGAATCCTTTCTTTTATAAGAGTTTACATGGTCATGGTGTCTCCTTATAGCAAAGGAATGGTGACTAAGTCTATGAAAATGCTATGTAAATCACCACCTGATAATTAAGTTCTAACACACATGCATGAAGTATACATTGTTTCCTGTTCCATTGCTTTTCTTCATGGGAGGCCAGAAAGATATAAGTGGCCGACAGTTGCAATGTAGATGTCCTGTAAATGTGTGAGGATTTATTTAGATGAATAGATGGACAGAGCATTTATCTTGGAAGCAAACAACGCTCTGGGACAGCTGTCAAGCTCCAATCACCCACAGTTTGACACCCTTCTCTGATGACAATTTTCTTTCCTTTCCTGTACTAAGACCAAACAGCTGTGTTGTATACGTCATCATCCCCTCAAGACTGAAGAAACTGAGGCAAATGAGTGTATGAAAACATTGAATTACTCAAGCTTACCTTTCAAATTATTCTTAGAAGCTAAGAGAACAAGGGCCGATGCTTTCTGGAGTCCTTGTCCACCATCAAACAGAATGGGCAAACCTGGTGTCCAGGCATTTTGATAATTGAGTCACACCATAAGAACAAAATTGTGATACGTGCTCAGGATTACCTTATACTTCAATGAATGCAAAAGTAACTTTATATTGCCTTCAAAATTCATTTTCCATATGTATATGAAATAATCTAAACTTTTAACTTGGCCTTTTGACTTAAAATTTAAATCACTAAAGAACACAAACCAACATAACTTTTTCCCTGGCTCTGTACACACAATAGGTGCTCAGCTAATACTTGCCAGATTAAGAAGATAGATAAGTGCTTTCCCCATCCAGTCTTAGTGAATAGTTAGGGATAAGAAACTCAGGATATAGGATACTGATATATAGGTCTTTTATGTATATAAGGCATGCTCCTAAATGTATCTGTTCTCTTTGCTTCTATCATTGCTGGTGTGTCACCCATTGCTTCTCACTGTGATTGTTGAACTACTACAGATCCCACCAAAGTTGACCAGAAAACCAATTCTCCAACAAGAAAAACACATCATCCTGAAGGCTGTGTCAAGAGATAACCCAATAACTGGATCATGAATTTCCCTCAGGAACCATGTTATGTTCTTCAGGAGAGCTGTACGCAGAACACTAGCAAATTTAATATACCATACAATGATTGAGTGTTCAATAATTCATTGGACACGCTCAGTGTCTATACAGCGTATCATCTATTGTGTAATTCAACATAAATAATTAAGTGATTGATAGGTATGGAGATTCACTTTCTGATTTTCTTGGGACCATCTACACTGATTGCAATTGATTTCTTCCATTCTGAACTCTAAATGTAGTAACTATTTCTCTATAGTTCTATCAATAATTTTTAATGAAAATATAAACTATGATGTTGACTGTTAGTAAAAGTATATCAAATTGTTATTTGGAAAAATTTTATGTTATTGAAAATACAAATAAAAATCTTTCAAAAATATATAATATCATTATACACATTAATGGTAAAACACTAAATCAACAAAACAAGATGTTAATCCTTTCTAATAAACATGGTCACCCATTGTTTGATACAATTGGGGATCCACACTTGACTCTCAAGATTGGTGACACTGACCCATTTTGAAATGGCATATTGCTTAAGAAATTTGTTCATAGTCCAATTTTGTAGTCCTTGAAGGATTTTTAATATAACTGAAGTAAAATGTTAATATTCTTTTTTTAGGCTTGATTTATTTTATCATCTTCATCTCCTCTTACTTCTCTGATAGTCTATGTTTCCTCAGTCTTCTTTGGATTGCATGGTTGTTGCTATTGTCAACTTTAGAGACTCTGGAATCATCTGGGATGGATAAGGACCTCAAGGCATGCCTGTGGGTGATGGGTGTTTGAGTTGGCTAAGGTGTGAAGGAGCGGTGCCATATGGTGTCCAGGATTATATAAGTAAAGAAAGGGAGCTGTGCAGCATGGAATCATTACCATTTGCTTCCTGATTGTGGAGCATATGACTAGTCTTCTAGCTCCTGTCCCTGGCTTTCCCTCAGTGACCTACTTTCCACTAGAACTGTAAGACAGAATAAACTCCATTCCCCTTATCGTGCTTTTCTCAGGGTGTTTATCATACTAACACCAAGATAGAACCAATCTTGAACTCCTCCCTGTCCTATAACAATTAGCATAAATAAAAATTGCTGGATAATCAATGGATTGGGCAACAAAGATTGTTCCATCTTATTCAGCATCAGAATCCTCACTGGATTCTTCCAATTTAGTGTCCAACCTTCCACTCTCTTTCTGTGTCATTTAGTCTAAAACCATTGTGAGGGGCTCATGAAGGAGGGCTACTGCTGACTCCAAATGAGACCCAGTGGTTTGAGGAAGAGGTCTACATGGAAGGCAGCCTGGTTGGCTGTGAGGACAAGCCAGCTATAAAGCCACTACTGAAGCATGTCCTTACACAAGAAGCTTGTGCTTTGGTGAGTAGAGAGCCCATTGGCGACTTCAGTGCTAGAGTATCTGACATTTCAACATTGCAGACGACTGTTCACCCATGCACAGGCCCACATAGGAACACACATACACAAGCACACAAATTTAAATAATTTTTTTTGTAGGGATGAGAATTTGTTTACTGGGGGAGAGATTCTTTCAATTGAAAATAAATTTTTCCTCACATAATATATCCTTCTTATTTTTCTTTCCCCACCACTCCTCCCAGTTCCAAATACATACACTACCTATCTAGATTCACTGTATCTCTTTAGGAAACAAATAGGTTTTTAAACGATAATAAAATATAATACAAAATTAAACTAAAACAAAGAGCTTAAGAGAAGATTCATTCATACACCCAAGAATCCCATCAAAACACTAAACTGGAAGCCGTTATGCATATAGAGAGGTCTTGGTGCTGAACAGTGCAGGCCCTGTTCATGCAACCACAGTCTCTGTGAATTCATACATACATTGATAGAGGGCCTTATTTTCTGGGCATCCTCCATATCCTCTGGCTCTTATACTCTTTCTGCCTCCTCATTTAGAGGATTCCCTGATTCCTGAAAGGAGGAATTTGATGGAGACATTCCATTTAGGGATCAGTGTTCCAAGATTTGCATAATGTCTGGCTGTGGGTCTCTGTATTTGTTCCAATCTGCTGCAGGAGGAAGGTTCTCTGGATGATGGATGATCTGCTTGCCTGGCCAGACACAAAGTAACTTTCTAAAAATGAATTGATCCTAAGAGTAGAAGATGAAGTGTCTAGGAAAATGAATAATAAGAGGGGAAGAAAGGAGAATATGTCAAGAATTGTGATGAAAGAACATTATACGCTTGAATGAAAATATTACTACATGCTATGTATAATGATTACATGACAGTAAAACATGAATTGACCTAACCAGGTATGGTGGTACTTGCCTAAAATCTTAAGACTTGGGAGGCAGAAACAGGCAGACCTCTGTGAGTTCAAGGTCATTCAAGTCTACTAAGTGAGTTCTGGAACAACAGAGAAATTCTTTCTCAAAACCACAACAAAAAATAAACTGACCAATTTACAAAGAATATCTTGAATAATGAAAGCCCAGCTTCTCAGTCTTGATTAAATAAAACTTGTTCAGAGCAAAAAAGAATCTTTGTAGGTAGGCAGGGTGGAGTAGGGTGTTTTGGTTGTGGAATCCTATTTCTCTAAATAGGTGGTAGATAAAAATGATAGAGGAGGGATGGGATGATGATCCCACTTCTCTGAAAGAGTTACGAAGCAGAGATAGCCTAATTAACATGATCAGTCCTATTTCCCAACTCCTGGTTTAAGTTGACCATGTTTTTGGTTCTTTGGAGAAATGCCATAGTCCGCGGTTGTGAAAATCCAAGAGGAGCTCAGAATTCCTTCCTGTGCCAGAAGTACACACATGCTCAAAGACAAGGTTTGTAAGATGGTACATGCCTGTGATTATAGTGATTGTAGGCAAAGAGAGAACCATTCCTGGAGCTTTCTGGACAGATAGTCTTCCCAAAGAAATGAGTTTTAAGACACTGAGAGACCCTATCTCAAAAGATAGAGTGGAAGTCCAAAAAGATGACTCATTAAACATGGCAGGTGTCAAGAATTACAACTTAGGTTCAATTCCTAGGACCCACATTAAAAAGAGAGAGCCAACTCCTTCAAGTTGTCTTATGACTTCTACACAGGCACCATGATGCATATGCATGTTTGCACAGACACTAAAATATAATTTAAAAAACTAATAATAAAGTTAAGAGCAATTGAGGAAGACACCATCATATCAACCTCTGGCCTAGACGCATGTGCACACATATGTGAACACATAAATATATACACTAACATTCAACATACACACAAATAGTGACAGAATTAATGGATATATTTCCAAGAAAAAGGAAAAGTCCACAAGGGTTACTCTCGCCTGCATTTATAAGACTAGATCTCAACCAGAACCAAACTCCAGTGACTATGAAGGTGAAAGGGTTTATTTTCTTCGTGTCTTCTGGACTTGAGAGGACAATTACACTCATGGAGTTAGAAAAGTTCTGGTTACCTGCTCAAGACCCACACAAGATCAGTCAGTTCAACTTTCTAGAATGGACGTGGAGGGAATCTTCAGTCCTAACCATGTAGCTGAGTAGCTCATGATAGTTTATGGTTACTCGAGAAAGGAGAAGCATTTTTCCCAGGAGTGAAGCCCCAGACAGTTGCCTCTGCTCCAGTGAATGATCCCACACTATGAACATATGGGCAACACTAATTAGACTCAGTAGTTTATAAAAGAAAAGAAGACATGACATTGGGAGGGGGACTTGGGAGCATATTCAAAGAAATTTGATCAGAGAAGTAGGAGATATACATGAACAAATTACATTGTGTACATTTATGAAAGTCTCAAATAAACTTTTTAATTATATTTATAAAAAGTATTTTATTTCTGGTTTTATTGGTTCAGATTTATATCTCTCCTCTTGATGTTACTTTGAAGTATTCACAGTGGTTGAAGGTGGCATACACTATATTGGATGAGAAAAGTAATTAGCAGTGTCACCCAAGTTTGAATCATGTAAGTAATAATAATGTTCTGCCTAAAAGCTATGCCCACTGGTATAATTGTGTAGAAATGTTATGGGAATAGCCAAACACTTATTAAGTGGCATTTCAGGTCCATTCTATGAGATAGAATAAATATCCAAAACTGAGTTCAGTGACATCAAAAACCTGAGACTAGATATACCATGAGTCCAGGGAGCAAAACCTACCACTACTAATATATTAAATTAATATTGTAATAAAAATTCCGAACGATGTACTGCTAATTCCATAGAATTGGACATCACTCAACCCTCATCAGAAAAACTTCTTTTAGTAGATAGTAATTAGCAAGAAAACCCACAACTTATCAAAATAAAGAGAGGAAGAGACTTTTAAATGCTCAGTTCTGGCCATGATGTCTATATCATACCCATCCTCTGAAGCCTCAGGGATCTATGTGGAATAGAAGGCAAAAAGTTTGTAGGAGCCAAAGTTAGTGGATGACTTCAAGGAAACAACATTTTCAAGACACAGCATTGGTGTAGGAGGTCCTTCTGTATTTGTGTTGCTTTCATTGGTTAAATAAATAAACTGCCTTGGCCTTTTGGTAGGGCACAACTTAGATAGGTGGGGAAAAGAGAACTGAATGCTGGGAGAAAAAAGACAGGCAGAGAGAGCTGCCGTGAAGCTGCCAGGTCAGACATGCTGAACTTTACTGGTAAGCGATGACCTTGTGGTGACATACAGATTATTAAAAATGGGTAGAATCAAGATGTGACAGTTAGCCAATATGAGGCTAGAGCTTATGTGCCAAGCAGTAATTTAATTAATACAATTTCTCTGTGGTTATTTTAGAGGTTAAGCTAGCCAGGTGGTGGGACGTGACCCACTCTTACTACAGATTGACTTCACAACATGGTTAACTGACTCCACATAAAGCCTGAGAGGGCTTGAAAAGGAATTCTAGGTACAAATATAGAGTTTAACCCAGCCTTTTGCTGTTTGCTGGCAGGCTGCCGCAGAGAAATTTTCCTAAGTCAGCAGCCACAGGAGGAAAAAAAGCTGCACAGTTTTAAAATGCAACTTCCTG